ATGAGAATGGTTCGCATATGCCTTAGGACGTCTCCTGTCATCAGATGAATTGGAAGGGCTTGATTCCAGCCTCCATAGCATGCCAAAAACTGGGGGTTTTGAGGATTTTGAGGTCTTTGGGAGCTTTTATGTGCTATTTCTTTATTGCATATAGACAACATAGCTGGCCGGTTTGAATTATCCCCGTTTTTGTTTAACAATTCTGTTCCTTATAGTTTCACTAATTGTCCTGCTGGTCCATTGTCTGAGGCTATCCTCTCATCTCTTCCGTTGCCTCCCATGTTTTGCCATCCCTGCCTTGTTTCTTCCATGAATATGAAAATATAACATTATAAAAGTGGATGTCTGAGCCATGGGTTATGATGCACAACCATACTATAAAAAGGAGAAAACTGTACATACATCTCTCCCGACTGTTATTCCTATGCATTAATATCTGCCCTCTGACTCACTAGAAATAATACGTGGACGAATCTGACCCTTTATGCTACTAAGAGAAGACAGACGCCATGTACAGTATTTACAGGTTCATTGTACCGAGGAAATTACCCTACGTGTTTTCGACAATTACAAAAATAATTAATGAAAGACCTTTATTGTAGGTTTTTGCTCTTACAAGCTAAGTACAGGCACTGAGATCATGAAGAAACAGGATTAATGGGCAGTAGACCAGTGGGTTTAGCATCGCCTGTGCGTACGTGCGCCAAGGCACGTATACCCATAGATACCTATTTGTCTGGCCCGGACGCCTTAGGGCTGCTGGTTTGAAAAAAAAACAGTCTTTCTGATTCATTGATTTATGCTGTACTATTAGAAGGCTACTTGGATGGACTATTGAGAGTCACCTGAGGGTCAAGGCAAGAATGTCGCTCTGTTTTTCTGTCAGTAGAAATATTGGACATCTAACTACGGGCTAATGAAAATACAGAAGGATAAGTGAACAATTTAGATTATTCCCAAGTAAATATTTACGCTCTTCTCCCCCTCCTCGTACCCAGGGAGCGTTGTGTTGGGCTTCAAAAAAGTTTGCTGTAGTTCAAAATTTTGACAATTCTTTTTTTTTCAAGATTAGGCCTTGTAAAAGGGTTTCCAACTCCGATGTAATTTTTCTATTCAGTGGACGGATGGACCAATGGGGCTACTAGGAATCCATATTTTTATGTACTTGAATGTGTAGGTCTTTGTACACCTTTGTACACACACACACACACACACACACACACACAAACACACACACGAACAAACATACAAGTCCTGTCCAGACTACATGTTTTGTCTTGAGTCTAACATTAGCCTTCTTACTTCTTATGATGTTGTCCATTTTACCATAAACTCATCCCACCTCCAGTGTGCATCTATTGATCTCAGGCAGGACAATTCCATCGTGTGTCACTTTCTGCACGCGTAGATGAAGCTAGCTGTTCATCCCACCGCTTTTATTTCTGTCCCATTTACTAGTAGTGCGCTACTGGTGATTTGTTTATATGTTTGTTATACATTATCTAACTGAGGCCTACTGAATTTGCCTACTGATCTACCTCCTGCTGAGGCCTACTGAATTGATACCAAGATGATACCATCCGTAAATGAGAGATGTGAGAGGCATTCCCCGTCAATGTTAATTTGTATCTTCAGCATTATGAGCTTTCGATGTTAAAATTCTAGTATCATGGACGGAGTGAATGATTACATTTAACCATGCCATTCGTAGGATTACACAGAATATTTGTCAAGTTATTTACGGTAACGATACAGTACTTTAGTAAGAAGTATGTAGGGAGGGTTACAACTTCTCAAAGTAGAGGCCACATAATTTAAGCCCACAGTTTGGGAGTTTTTTTCAGAAATGTGCTTGGATTTAGAATGACAGTTCTGGACCATGTATACATGTAGACCCTAGTGTTACACTAGACTGCCCCTCCATCTTGTACAGGGCCGTCGTCTGTGTCTCCACCTCTCTCTAGGTGTTCACTTAGCAGGCTCTTAGCGTCCACGTGTTGTGTTGTAGTCTCGCTACATGTCCTGCATGTCGGTGCTAGGCCGTGTTGACAGCAGTGATGATGTCCGTTACTCCTGTCTGGAGTCGGATCCAGGAGTTTTTTTACTGTCACTGAGTGTAATGCCCAGCATGATCCTGTCCATCTTCCGCTGTGCAACCCTGAGCATTTCCATTTTAGTGCCGTAAGTCATCACAGGGAGAATGTACTGGGTTTTAACGTTCCTCTCAGGTCAACCTCTAGCCTTTTTGCTTCTCATGATGTTGTCCACTTTACCGAACGCTTCCCATCGCAGTGTGATGCGTCTGGTGATCACTGGCATGGGGCTTTCATCGTGTGTCACATTTCTGCACACTTTTGTGCATCATTAAGGAAGCCACACACACACGCGCGCGCGCGCACATACACATACGCACACACACACACACACACACACACACACTCATGCACACTAACACATACAGATATATACACGAACATGTATACATAGACATGCACAGAGAGAGAGAAAGAGAAAGAGAGAGAGAGATGCACACAAACACTGGCAAATACATACAAAAATGTTTGTAGAATGTATTGGGATGGGTAAAGTGGAACAAGTGTGTGGAATTACATATACCTCATAATGCTAAGGTTTATCAGATATACTGGGTTCATGTCATTAATTTTTCTTGAATGATTTTGGAAAAAAACACAACGATTAAAAAGCTATAAATCTTCACAGTAAAATCAACATGTCACAGACGCTCCAGCCAGACACCAAGGCAGCCCACGCAATGATCTTTCTTTTTTGTTACCTGCGACCTGAACGCCAACGCAATTATCACGTTGCATCCCTTCACATGAGAGTTGTGGTGTCCATCAGAGTCCTTAAAGTAAACACTATAAGAATTAGGGAGACTGGCCTCGATGATAAATTGGCCTGCTAGAGGTGTTCTTGTACTCAGTTAGACCCTCCATAGTCTGCCAAATTTCCTAAAAATGTATCCATCCTACTTGCCCTTTTAGACTACTACAGACTCCGACCACGCAACCGCCAGAGGGACCATGATGTCATTCTAAGGTGGCGTGATGTAGCGTCAGTCGTGGGCGTAAGGAGCCATGGAGGCTATAAAAGGCGATAAAGTCTGCGGTTTGCGGCACACCGCGGATCAGCTACAACCCACAGCCACAGCCGTCCGTCGACATCCCAGCCGACCGACAAAGCCGACGTGACCGTCGACATCCCAGTCCGGCGCTACCGTCGACATCCCAGCCGACCGACACAGCCGACGCAAACGTCGACATCCCAGCCAACCGACACAGCCGACGCGAACGTCGACACCCCAGCCGACTGTCTCCCGACAAGCGACCGACACAGCCGACCCTTCTGTCTCCCGATACAGTTGACCAAACAACCAACAACCTACAACTGTAAGTCAAAAACACGTTCACTTCTAAGTTGTGTGTTTGCTTCCTTCACTTTTTATGGCAGTTTTCCTCCGTCAGATTGTTGTTAAATTTCAACTTTTTACTTTGAACTTCAATTTCTGTAATGCTTTAGCTACGCGCATTTTAGTAGTTGTGACTGAAAAGCTATCTCAAAGGTCGACACTCGTGTTGTTTTGCCCCCTACATTCCTAACAGAGATTAGCCTGGCGGAATTCTAGCTCAGGTCAACGGGCCCCGGTATAGCCTGGTTATAATTCTACACTGTAAGTTTAAGTTTTACCAGGCTAGTACTTAGCTACCCTGTCTCATTGCAACCATTCGTTTGATTTGATTTGATTTGATTTGATTTAGCGTCTAGTGAGCGTATAACATGGACATTGGATTGTATCGCCTGTTTACTTAAATTCAACACTGGCTAATGTAGAAAGGCTTGATCAGGGTTTCACAATTATGCGTTGTCTCAAACTGCCCTTTCGGAAATCTGTTTCAAAGGTCGACATCCGTGTTGTTGCTTTTTCCTAATTTTCAAACAGAGGTTCAGTCTTCGCCTTATTTTCGATGCATTTAGAACCTGGGCGTTTTTATCGCCACTTTCGGGTGGAGTATTGTATACTAAGCTTCCAGTACTATAACCGCCAAAGGATATGTCCGAAGTGTTTTCAACTCTGAGAAGACGTTATACGACCAGTAATGAGAGAGAGATTGACCAATCGGGTATATCGTAGCCTGGATACCGTTCCCCCAGGTCGGCTTAGGGCTGTTTTACCGGCCCCAGTCTAGCCTGGTTACCGTTCCCCCAGGCCGGCTTAGGGCTGTTTTACCGGCCCAGTCTAGCCTGGTTACCGTTCTCCACAGGCCGGCTTAGGGGTGTTTTACCGACCCCAGTCTAGCCTGGTTACCGTTCCCCCAGGCCGGCTTAGGGCTGTTTTACCGGCCCAGTCTAGCCTGGTTACCGTTCTCCACAGGCCGGCTTAGGGGTGTTTTACCGGCCCAGTCTAGCCTTGTTACCATTCTCCACAGGCCGGCTTAAAACTATTTTACCGGTCCCAATCTAGCCTGGTTATCGTTCTCCCCAGGCCGGCTTAGGGATGTTTTACCGGCCCAGTCTAGCCTGGTTACCAGTCTCCCTAGGTCGGCTTAGGGCTGTTTTACTGGCCCAATCTAGCCTGGTCACCGTTCTCCCCAGGCCGGCTTAGGCTGTTTTACCGGCCCCAGTCTAGCCTGGTTACCGTTCTCCCCAGGCCGGCTTAGGGCTATTTACCGGTCCCAATCTAGCCTGGTTACCAGTCTCCCCAGGCTGGCTTAGAGGCGTTTTACCGGCTCCGGTCTAGCCTGGTTATACGAGTCTCCACAGGACGGCTTAGGGATGTTTTACCGGCCCAGTCTAGCCTGGTTACCAGTCTCCACAGCTCGACTTAGGGCTGTTTTACCGGCCTAGTCTAGCCTGGTTACCGTTCTCCACAGGCCGGCTTAGGGCTGTTTTACCGGCTCCGGTCTAGCATAGTTACCGTTCTTTACAGGCCGGCCTAGGGCTGTTTTACCGGCCCAATCTAGCCTAGTTAACGTTTTTAACAGGCCGGCTTAGAGCTGTTTTACCGGCCCAATCTAGCTTAGTTAGGTCTGCGATACTCCGGGTCGCGTGTAAAACGGACGTTACCCTGAACAGACTGAAGCGGATAAAACGTCCGCGGGCTAAATGTGTCCTTCAACGGGCTAGGTCCGAAATAATACCGGCCTAGTCTAGCCTGGTTCCCAGCCCCCACAGGCTAGCTTAGGGGTGTTTTACCGGCCACAATCTAGCCTGGTTCCCAGCCTCCACAGGCAGGCTTACGGGTGTTTTACCGGCCACAATCTAGCCTGGTTCCCAGCCTTTACAGGACAGGTTAGGGGTGTTTTACGTCGGCCGCAATCTAGCCTGGTTCCAAGCCTCCACATGACAACTTAGAGGTGTTTTACCGGCCTCTCCTGACATGTTAGATCTTTACAGTGAGACTTTCTAATTATTGCCGTTCTGTAGGCAAACTCATAGTAGGAACCGATCCCTAGAAGTACGTCCGCGGGCTAAATGTGTCCTTCAACGGGCAAGGTCCGAAATGATACCGGCGCGCCACTTGCGGAATTTACGGGAACTGCCACACACCAACACACACACACACACACACTCTCTCTCTCTCTCACACACACAACAGACACACAAACACATACACACGTCGATGAAGGTTAGACATCCAGGTAATACGATATGCCAAAAAACAGTTACTCAAGCAACTGGATATGATTTTGAAAACGTCAGACGTATAACAGGAGCTTTTAGACTAATTTGCATCATCTTGTCTTGACTTGTCTGACTTTTGTTCCTTTTTCGACTTCCAAAAATTTGTCTTCACTTTATTTGCATATCAATCAACAGGTTGTGTATATAAACCTGCTTCCCCTCTGGTCTCTCAGTCACTGACGAAAGCTAGTGGATACTAGCTGAAACGTCTGACGTTTTCAAAATCATATCCAGTTGCTTGAGTTGCAACAGTTTTTTGGCAAACACATACACACTCAAACACTCTTACAGACACACAAACACATATACTCTCACACAGACACACAGACTCACATACACACGCTCACACACACGCGCGCGCACGCACACACACACACACACACACACACAGATACACACAAACACACACACACACAAATGAAGATGAATTTAATAGTGTGCTTTTGGCAATAACTAACTTCATTGAAAATGTATTTTACGCTACAAAGGAAATCTTACGTGTATCAAAAGTGAAAAACATGCATGAGAAACGGGTAAACTTACAAATTTACTGACACCAAGTATTCGGGGTGTGCGGGACTTTCTTTCCAAGGTATAAAAGTGTAAAAAAAAAAGTCAATCGACCGACACACAGACGACCCCCGACTGACACCCGTTGTCCGGCTGACACACAGAGGACGATTCCCCTGACTTACTATTAGAAAGACGTTGGTGTTGATTCAACGATTTTCATAGTCGTCGCTACACTGTGACCATAATCGTTATGTGATATACTGATATACTTCCCTTAGATACCAAGCCTAGTGACTGTCCTTTGTCAAACCTATATACAGTGTTTTATAGGGTTAAATTACTTCTTTATTGAAGTGGCTAAAATGACTGAAACGTCCTTGTCCTTATTCAGCGTTTTAGGAAACAACAACAACTTGCATCGTTTATTTACTTGTGTAGACTTTTGCAAAATGTGTAAACGTGTGTCAGGGACTATTTCCGGCGTTCTGAAATAATAGAAGTGCGCCCCTGGTGGAACTTACGAGAATTGCTACTTTCCAAGCAGATCCTAAGGTGTCAAGGCAGTATTCATTTGGCCAAGGAGTTTCCTGTAACCACTGAAGCCACACAAGAACTTTTTGTGTTGGACCAAAAGTTTTAACGCTAAACATGTAGCTACCAACACAGATGAACTTGTTGCTCACACTGCAGCATGCTCTCGGGTAAACTGGTTAAACCCGAGAGCATGCTGTGTTTCATTACCAGTTCTTTTATTCCAGGTGACCTACCGGACATCCGGAGAGAGGATGGACCCGCGTGTGTCGCTACCAGTGGGACTGCTGGTGCTCGCCCTTATGGGCACCTGCGTGACTGGTCAAGGTAAGGTTTTCTTCAGCACACACACACAAACGCTGTTTTGTTTAAATCTGATTAGACTGCTGAAAGTAGATAATCTCCAAGCAGATCCCTTCCGGTGGCAAGACAATATCCATTAGCCAGAGAAGGTCGCCGGCCACCGACGAGTGGGGGTAGCGACAAAAAGTAGAAGGAAGTAGAAGTGTTAGTTGGGGCTTTACAGCAAGTTTGGTGAATAGCTATCAACTGAAAGCCCGCAGGGCCACCATGTGTGATCATGTGTGGGGAGTTGGCTGATAAGTTCGGATAACGTTGTGATACATTTATTATGCTTTAAAATGGCGATGGTCTAGAGCACAAGTGCATGCAGTTGAAATAATAACCTTATTCGTTCTGAAATAGGTTGCCGAGACGGGTACGTTTACCATCAGCATAGCCGCCTGTGCTACAAGGCCTTCAACCACGCGACAACCTACATCGGTGCAGTCAGTAGGTGTTCTTCAGACAGGGGGACCCTCGCCATGCCCCGCGACGCTACAACCAACAACTTCCTCATCAATCTGAAAAATGCCGTCGACAACACCGCTAAGTTCCGTTTTGGACTGACTGATCGCCACCGGGAGGGAGTTTGGAAGTGGAGCGATAACGTTCTTCTGGGTGGCTTCACAGCTTGGGCCTCAGGAAACCCCGACAACTATAATAATAACGAGGACTGTGCCGAGTACTTTCCCGATGGTTACGATAGCTCCAACAAATGGAACGATGGATACTGTGACGACAACAGGAAGTTCATCTGTCAACTAGGTCAGTTTTAAAATATCGACGTCTGCGCTTTCAATTTTGGAAATTTTGAAAAATGTTGCGTACATTGTTGTACATTTCATGATTATGATCACTCCCATTCTTTGCTAACGGTTGCGTCCACATCAGCCTTTAGATCAACAGACATGTTCCGGTGTCGTCAGCAGTCTGCGCTGTATCATGTAGTAGGACTACCATTGTTGGTCATTATCGGTGATACTCAATTTCTATATATATTGATTCAGATATATTCAAATTATTCGCAAATATTGCGTATTGAGGTCAAAATGAGTACCTGAACATAGTTGCTAACTACAAGAGCATCTGTATCAATTGCCATCTTAAAAAATTGAGTCATTTTACTATAATACAGCCCGTTGTGTCCGTGCCTTGTCCCGACACTCGGCGTGGCTGGGGCGCTAAATCTACGTTCTGGGACGCGCGGGGACTGTTGTGTCCCGAACCATGCTGGTCTCATTCTGTGCCTGACCGTGTCCAAAACTGTCAATCACGCCTCAAGCACGGAAAGGGACAAAGCCCTTGTGTGTCCAGAACTGTGCGGGACCTGAGAAACGCGCCTTATTAAAAGTGACAGCTGCTTTTTAGCCAGGGAGAAGCTGCCTCATGATGTTACAGTCAGACCTAGATAAAATAAGAAAAGGACTATGTCTACCATGTCTTTCCCAAAAGAGAATATTTGTTTAGGGAATGACTCACAGGTAATGGGCACATTAAAGTCCATGTTACAAAACAATCTCACAGATTTGGTTTGTGCTGGTAATTTGTGTTGCTTCTGTCGACAGATATCGATGAGTGTAGTATTGGCACGCACAACTGTCACTCTCGAGCAACCTGTACCAACACACCCGGCAGTTTCAGATGTGCCTGTAGGACCGGATACAGCGGGAGTGGAGTCACCTGTACAGGTAAGAACATCTCACTGTGCAACAGTAAAGCATTACATTGTCAGATTTAATACATTACCTCTATTGAATTCCATGTTACAAAACAATCTCATAGATTTGGTTTGTGCTGGTAATTTGTGTTGTTTGTATCTCTAACATAAATGATACCACTATCAATCCAGTTTTTTAAGAAAAGTGTTTTCTTATTAAGTTTAAAGTTTTCATTGGACCAAATAATTTCATTTCGCACCGAAGCGAGATCCGTTTTTGCTCCACCCATTTCATGCCATGCGTAAACTACCTCTCTATAGAAAGGGAGAAGAGTTAACAAAGGGGGTGCATCAGCCCTTTGTTTAAAATTAAATCGAAAGACTAAAAAGTTTTTCCCAAGCTTTTCAATGAAGTGCATAGGTATAAGCCTCCATCTACTTACTCTACTTGGGTCCTTTGGATTTTTCATAATCCTACGGACCCAAGAAGCTTGTAGGCTTTTACATTTAGCATATATGTCAATCATCCTAATCCCACCACCTTCATAGTTTAAGTACAGTACTTTTCTTTTTATTTTGTCTGGTTTACCATTCCAAAGAAAGGAGAAACATGCTTTTTCAATTCGTTTTAAGGCCCAATCAGGTGTTGGGATCATACTCATATTGTAAATATTTGTGATACTGCCAATGTCTTAATAATCAAGACTTTCTCATAAAAAGTTAGTTTTCGCCTACGCCATTTTTGAAGTAAATTTTCCATGTTCTGTAGTCTAGTTTCCCAGTTCAACATCTCACACTCTTCCTCCGTGAAACCAAAATAAATACCTAAGGACTTAACGGGCCTATTTGGCCAAACGATTCCGAAAGGAGTGTCTCTTCTTCCTCGATTGGCCCCTATCCACATGGCTTCACACTTCTTTCGATTCTTTCGAAACAGAATCTCACAGATTTGGTTGACCCTGGTATTTTGTGTTGCTTCTGTCCACAGATATCAATGAATGTACTACTACTAGTAGTACTAGCAGGCACAACTGCCACTCTCGAGCCACCTGTACCAACACTGTCGGCAGTTTCAGATGTGCCTGTAGGACCGGATACAGCGGGAACGGAGTCACCTGTACAGGTAGGAACATCTCGCTAATACATGTATATACATCAATGTTTAGGTGAACTTCGATTGAGTTCCATATCACAAATGATAATCTATAAGATTTAGTTCGCCCTGTTTATTTGTGTTGCTTGTGTCCACAGATATCAATGAATGTACTACTGGCACTGACAACTGTCACTCTCTAGCCACCTGTACCAACACTGCCGGCAGTTTCAGATGTGCCTGTAGGACCGGATACAGCGGGAGTGGAGTCAGCTGTACAGGTAAGAACATCTTGCTAATATATACATCAATGTTTAGGTGAACTTCGATTGAGTTCCATATCACAAATGATAATCTAAAAGATTTAGTTGGCCCTGTTAATTTAATGCTTCTTTGAAAGCCGAATGAATAAATAAAAAAATCAGTGCAAGTCGCATTGCGCTCGGCTCGATACTACCCTCCTGAAGTGGTTTGAGATCGAGCCGGTTTGAATGTGACTTGTAGCAGTGGATTCTGGCCTCAATGCGTTTTCGTGAGGTCGAACGTGAAGAGGGGGCTAGTTAGCGCTTTAGTTTTG